TATGTGGCCTACTTTCTCCTATAAATACTAAAAGATTCTGTGCCCTTGCTTCTTGTCTGGTTTACCTTTTTTATGGTAAGGAAATAGGATACAGAGCCTGTCAGGTATGTGAGGGAAGTCTGCACAACTCTCTTTTACACCTGCTTGGATTCTGGCAGTGGATGAAGGCTGGTTTGTCATGTGTTTTCACAGAGCAGTGGTGGCTCCAGGCCAGCCCATTTAGCCTTTGTTATTTTTTCTTGCATAAAATTGCGTATTTTTCACTTCACATGGGGGTGTTAGGCACTTCAGAGATGTTTGTTTGTGTCATATGCACACCATCTGTGGTCTCCTGGCATCTTAGACAGGTTCCCAAATGGCCAAAGTGTCTGTCTGTTGGTGAGCATATGGAATGGACAGGATCCTAGCCTCTGGGTATTGGTGTAGCCAGTGCTGAAGCACACACCTGAAGTCCCCTACATTGGTGCTGTGGGCTCACTTAACTAAGTTTAAACCCCTTATTTAGAATAATTTTGGATTTGAAAGTTGCAGGGATAGTACAGAGAGTTCCCATAAGTGCTCACCAGTTACTCCAGTTGCTGTCTTTTAAATTACTCTGTTACATTTGTCACAGTTAAACCCACACTGGTATATTACTATTAACTAAAATGCATACTTTATTCAGATTTCACTTATTTTTCCCCAAGGTCCTTTTTCTGTTCCAGGATCCACCCACAATGTCATACTAATTTGTTGTCATGTCTCCTTCATTTCCTCTGGTCTATGATAGTTTCTCAGACTTCCCTTGTTTTTGATGACATTGTCAGTTTTGAGGAATACTGGCCAGATACTGTAGAATGTCCCTCAGTTTGGATATTTCTCATACTTTTCTGAATGTTAGACTGGGCAATGGATTTTTGTGAGGAAGACCACACAGAAGTGAAGTGACATTCTTATCACATTGTATGAAGGGAACCTGCTATCATCATGACCTAACCCTAATGATACTGACCTTGATCACCTGGCCAGGACAGTGTTTGCCAAGTTTCTCTACTGTAGATTCATTTCCCCCCCTTTCCGTAATCTACTCTTTGGAAGCCAGTCACTAAGCACCATGTAGGCTCAATTTAAGAGTTTTGTTGATTGTCATATCTCTATCCTGTTACGTTTAAACCATGCCTATTATTACTTTGTACTCCAAATGTACTGATTTTGTGTTTAAAGCCTTAAGAATAAATAAAAATTGCCTAGGCCTAAGAAGGTTTTGAGTAGTTAGTTGCTGTGTTAAATCTTTCTTCATTCCTCATGTTTGATGTATTGGTTTTATTGAAAAATCTTCAGACTCTATATACAACATCCTTGTACCATATGGACTACTCCATTCTACTCATGTGGCTGCATAGCTTGTACTTCATTCTTCTAGCATTAGGAAGCCTCATTTCTCTCTCACTGTTGGGGGAAAAAGTTTAGCATAAGAACACTTTGTCCATACTGAAGCTTATCTAGTAAACACCAAAATACATTAATTCTAATTAATTTGATGGAAATATTTCTATGTATAAAATTGTGTTTTAAAGATTTAAAAGTTTTAGTGCTTTTTGATACCTATTCTGACATCATAATTCGTTAGCCTACCACCTGCCTCTGTTAGCCTGTTAAGTTGTTGAACCTTCGGAGTTCAGATTACAGACTGCTTACTGTATTGTTTATGGGGTGAAATTCTTAACAAATTTGATTTTTTTCATCTAATAACTCTTCTGCACTCAACTCAAATAAGTTCATTTACATTTACATTTCAAGTTCATTTCTGAATAAGAATGAAATTACATGTAATTTTTAACATACAGTAGAAATGTTCTTGAAACTATATATATATGTGTGTGTATGTGTGTGTGTGTATATATATAAATTGTGTTTTTGTTCATTGAATCGTCATATCATGTGCTCTTAGAGAACTTACTGTTTCAAACAAGCTTGTGCTAAACTATGATGCCCAAAATGACCAATTTTGCAAATCCACATTTGTGGACACTTAATTTCATCCATAGGTGCAAATGTTTCATAAAGATGGACTAGTTATGGTTTATTTTCAGAACATTGAACTTCATGTACTTTCTTCTTAGTATTCTGAACTTAAAAGAAATTGTTTTGAGTGTGTTAGAGTATTTTGTCATTCAGTCAATCTTAGAATTGAGTAGTAGGGGAAAAAGTTTAAAAAATACCTTTCAAGAGGGCTTTTTCTCACTTCATGGTCACTTGGTATGACAACTCAGAAAGAGAATATTGTTTTTAATCAACCACAGGGTAAATCCTTTCCCTGGCTCCTCAAGTCTACTTTCAGTCAGTCAAAAGATTCTTAAATTCATGTGGGGGATTCCCCCATGTTCTTATAATAAGTCTCTTTTAAAATTTTCATATATGTGTAGATTGTAGGGTGTATTGCTTGTGTTTTATGTTTCAGTTGTGTGAGGGCTGTCCAGTGCACTGTGACTGTCTTAGTATCATCATTCTTTTTAAGTATGTAAGTGTGGATGAGAAAGACAGCATTATGAAATGAAATACAAACAGTTTGTTCCCAGGTAGATTAAAGGCCTATTAAACATAAGATCTTTGGATATACACTGGCTCTTTATTTTTCATTAGTAAAGAAAACTATGGAGTTTGGATACAGGTGCCACCCCCCCGTTTCCTCCGCCACCCTTACCTGCCTGTACTACAGTAACTGTACCCTGTCTGGTTAGCTGCAGGCTCTTGGGTCCTTCATGCTCAGAGTTAGGCATATTTCTACTGCTCAGATCTGGCAGATGTACTTCCTTCCTGCAATTACTGTTGAGGTTAGTTTCTAAGGTCTTGAAATGATCTTCAAAAAGATGATGAATATTGAGCCTTTTTTGGGAAAAGATACTGGATGAAGAGTCATGACATATCATGTGTAATTGTTATACTGTGAGAAGTCAGTCAAAAAACACCTGTTTGGACCACCTGTATTTTCCTGAGCTTGTCTGAGAGAATACCATCGCTTCTATTGGGACAGGGTTATATTTACAAACCTGTTGTTGAGTTATTGTGCCCTCCCAGGACCATGTAACAACCCCAGCAGAAGACAGGAGTCTATGAACTCTGCCATTCTACAAGCACACTTCCAAAATTTAGTACCAAATGGAAATTTTCCTAAATGAGAGGAAGACTCATAATCAGTACACAGAAAGCTAAGTCCCTGGGCCTCCTTTTACCTTGGCTTCCTGGAGGGTTTGATCTTACAGGAAATGCTCTAGATCAGGAGAAAGATCAGGAGAAATGGGTGGGGAACAGAGGCTATCTTTCCCTTACAGCATTTAAAAGCCGTTTCACCCCCATTCAAAAGCCAACAAGCAATAAGAAGGAGATTCTCCTGAACTTTCCCAGTTAATTTGTAGGCTTTGTATTCCCCAAACTTACCTAGTTTTTCATGAAAAATTAGATTTTTATATTCTCATGCCAAGAAGATTCTAAACTGTAAGGATGCTTTAAATTTTTCATCCATCTTTTATTTCCCCCTTTTCAATTTTGCTTCTCCTCTAAAATCCCCTGTATTTCTCTTTTGGTGGTAAAATTCCAGGAATTTTTACATTTAAGCCACCTCTTGGTAGCCTGTGCTTTTCATAGACTTTGCATTGGTTCCCCTAGTATAGAGCAGTGCTGTGTGGGCCGCTGTGTGGGTTATAGTCTGCCTCAGTCCAGAGGGAGGCTGTCTTCAGAATCAGACTGCATCTCAGGGATGTTTTCTAAGCTGCACAGTGATGATTACCTCTTACAGTGAATTTTTCCCCCCAGCTGTGTCTCTCTCTTCAACACTAAGATGCAGAAGCATCAGTCTTAATATCAAGTTATCCTGTCTGATTTTGACTTTGTCCAAACTCAGAGCATCTAAAAGTGTATTGTACAGGGGGATGTACTGCTTTTGCCTGCAAGGTTGATTCCTGCCCTAGGCTGTAAACATCCATTCATTTAACAGACATTTATTATGTGCTCATTTTGAGACAGACTCTGTGATGGAGTAGGAGTACAGAAATAAAAAGACCCACTGCTATCTTCAGTAAGCTTCCAGTCTACTGAGAAATAGAATGTAGTGTGATAATAGCTCTGTTACAGAGGTACCTGTGGTCCAGACACTCTAGGCAAATCTTTATGGAGGAACTGACATAAGACCTAGGTTTGGGAGGATGTATACAGGTAAACTGAGGGGAAATGGGGTTTTGATAGCTGGAGAAGACAGAGTCAGGGGGAATGCCAGGCTCATGGGAGAGGTTGCCTTGATTCAAAGGCCTGTGGAGGTTAGAGACCAAGGAGCATGCGGGAAACTGCAGGGTGTTTGGACACGCTTGAGGTGAGGGGTTTGTTAAAGACAGTGTCGTAGACAGTTTAGTTTTGAGTGTGTGCCAGCATTTTACTACAGTTGCAATGCCAGGGAAGAGGCTCCTGGTAGGTATATCCAAAGATCCTCTATTGATAGGGACATGTTCTAGGAAGAAGGAATGATTAAATCATTGAAAAGAATGTCTGTTTAAAAATCTTTAGGCTCTTGATACAGGCAACTGGGTGAATGTTAAGTAGTTCCCCAGATCAAGCCTTAATCTTAAAGTTCATTAGAAAATCGCATTAGAAAAAAATACTTTATCTGGAATGTGTTGATTACTTCACCAGGATGTTGTGACTTATCAAGTAAGCAACTTGGCTTTGTTCCAGACCACATCTGGAGAGGTTTTCTTTTATGGGTTCAAGGTCACAGTGGTGTGGTTGTTTTTTCAGGGATCTACTGGTGAAATACTTTGTAAGCTAAGCTGAGAAGAGTTTGTGTTTTTATCCTGAGGTCAACAAGAAGCCACTGACATAATTTTAAACTCCATCCATCAACGTGGGGAGTAACTAGCTGCAGCATGAGGCTGGATCAGTGGGGATAGAGATTAGCAGAATATTTAAATATCCATTGAGAAAATGACAAATTCAGGTATGTCTCTTTCTTTGCCTTCTCTTCCCCGAAGCCCACCACCTGCAGTAAGCTCTGAGACAGACATAGCTGGAGCCTGGATGAAGGTCAGTGCTTTTCCTCCAGAAGAGTAGATGTTAACTTCAAATTTAAATGATGACTGTTTTTACCACAACAAAAGAAGAGATGGTGAGACCAAGATGATGATGACAAGATGTTGGAGGAATCAGCCAAGCTCAGATAAGAGCTCAGAGAAAGGAGTCCAAGGCCCTTCTGATGGGTGTACTCTGCCTCCAGCCCTGGGCCCCACTCCTGCACTCTGCTCCTGCCATCTCCTGCTCCAGGCCTGCATCATCTCCATCCTGAGGTACCATAAGCAGTGTCAGAATCACAGTATTCTCTGGCCTTGGCCTTAGCCTTGAGGATGTTCTTGGTATTCCTACTCTAATTTGCCCTAATTACATAAGATTCTGCCCTTACTCAAAAGTCTGCAGACTAACCCTACTTCAGCCTCTTTCAGTGCATCTGCTGTGGTCAAAATGGGACCATCAGAGATGCCCTTGCTATGGGTTGTATACTAATTGGCATGTGATGATCTGTGCTATGTTGTTTTGTTTTGTCGCTGATTGATAATGTAGTGTCATTCCAGGCAGAGGTGTAGCCAGGTTGCAAGAAACAGCAGGGAACCTGATCTTGGGGTAGGTCTGCAGTGGTTTTGGGGGGTGGTCACCATGGTGACCTTTGGTGTCCCCATGGTCTTAATCTCTGTCCTTGTTATGTTTAATCACTGTCATGTCAACATATTGCCATAAAAGTAACACCCCATAATTACCTGAGGCAGATTGTATGGGTATATTTGAAAATAGCATTTCTCCTCTAAATTTAATATGAATAGGGACTTGTCCTTAACTTTTATGCCTTTTATAAATCTATAGTCAAAGTAATAATTTTTTAAAAATGTTATCCAGGTTGCAAAAATATCTGCCTTTGAGAACTCTGCAGGTCTTTGTGGGAGCAAAGGTACTGAGTCAGACCTGCAAACTTGGAAGTTCATTTGAGCCTTTTCATTCAGGCAGAAAATTTCCTAGGCAACCACTTATGCAATAATTAAAAGATGGGGACTAGGAGGTATGTATTTGGAAATTTTAATCCTCAGGTGTAATCCCTGTCAGATTGAGACCTCAATTTTCATTTAAAATAAGTAAATTAACAAGCTTAGCACTTAATTATAGAAAAACACACTAACGGTAAGACATGTGTGCATGTGTGTTGTGTTTTATCCTTACCCTTTAAACACTCTTTCTCTGATGGAAATGTGTATGTATATTAATGCTGGCTTATTTGGGAAAGCAGAAGAGAAGTTACAGCTTGAAGTAATTTTATTTAGCTGTGATTACTTGTAACAGCAGATAATCTTCTCACATGCCTGTATCTGAGTTTGTTATCAGTAGAATCTCTAGCAGGTGGAGAAGTTTATTATTCACTTGTTACTTCTTTCAGTGTTCATGCTTGAATTTGTGTTTATCCTAATGCTTTAGTTGTTTCAATGTACCTTAGATTGTAGTCAAACATACTGCTCTGTGGCTTGAGGGAGAATATGGAAGGGCTGTCCATGAATAAAGATAAGGACTCTCAGCAAGTAGACATGACCGAGATTTGCTAAAGAGTTTTCTCTACCTCTCTGCTCTCATCCTTTTTATATAAGTTTCCACTTGGATGACCTTAAGGATATGGTAAACACTTCTCTTCCTCTGTGAAACACTCATACTCTCAAACTTTATTTAACATGGACTTTAATTGAATTCTATTTTAATGACTAAGGTGGCTTTTTTTCATGTACCAGTGAAAGCAGGAAGCCCTACTAATTGTGTGACAGATTCATTTTCAGTAGCATTAAAAATAACTTGACAATGAAATATTAATTAAAATTAAAACATTAGTAGTGCTCATTTTAAATAAGGCTATGTTGTGATCCTAGTTCAACTGTTCTATAGAAATGTCAAACACAAGATGAATTATAGAAAATGACTGTTTTCTGCTGGAGACTGAGAGGAGCCATCTCCCCACTATGAGCACTTGTGGGTTTTATGAACATTTTGAGCTTATAGCCACAATAATTTGATTTGTCTCCTCGATACCCCAGTTGATCCACTTCTATTATCAACAACTTTGAAACTGTCTTACTGCAGAAACATGGTAGATTAAGTAGATAATCAATTACAACGACCTTGTTTTCTCCACCTGCCCCAACTGCATTGATGACCCACCTGTTTCCTGGACTGCATCAGTTTTGGGGCTTCTCATTACCCCAGCTCCCCAGTCTGTAAAACCTTGTTGTCTATTCATGGCTCAGATCAGGAAGTCAGAAATTCCCCCTTTGTCTGCAGCCTCCTGTCCATCTACCTTGTCCACTGAGTTATACCCTACCTCTCTTTTGATCTCACTGAGACCTCTGGTCTGCTGATACTTTACTTTTGTACTTTACTGTCTTTATTTCCCTTCTGGTCCAACTTAAAATGCACAGTCCAGGTTTTAAGTCGTGCTTCTGCCCAAACCTGACCATTTTGTCTTTCTGTACCTGGGCTGTTGAGCAGTGTTGGAGAAAATCCTGTAACTGGGCAGATGGTTACCTGTTAGCTTAAATTCAGGTGATAGTGCCAGCGCTGGGTAGCACTTGCACCATGTTATTCTGGTTGGCTGTATGTCATTGTGATTCTTCATGATGACTGTCACAAAGCTAGTCTGCTCTCTTCAAACCCATGAATGTGTTCCCCCTTCACTCTCGTCAGATGATACACTCCTGCATTGGGGCTGTCTGTCCCACTGCCTTTGGCATCCATGACCTGACAGCTTCCTGGTTTTTTTTCTACCTTTCATACCACCTCACTGGTATTTGCCGGCTTCGTCTCTGTCAAACTGACTTCTGTCAAAAAGGCAATTATAAGATGTCTTCCTTTTTAAGTTTTGTGCTCCTGTTCTTTGCCTTCTGCTGGAGAAAACGAGTAGGGCACCAGGCCGCTGGCTCTCTTGGGCTGTGTGTATATGAGCACCTACATGGGCCAAAGGACTTCACTCTGTGATCTTAGCTAGATGATATGTCAAGCCCTAAACAGTAACCATCTCTGTTGGCTGCTGAATGGTTCTGCACTCTGCAAAAATAATCCCCTAGGGTTTATTCTGCACACATGCAGGGGAAAGTTTGGCATCTTTCAGATTAGAAATGGGCAGGAATTTCCCATTTTTATTACAAGTTTTATTACTACAGTATTATAAAAGTGTTGTCTTTGGTGTGGCTCACCAATGCCTTTGTGGATTATTGAGATGCAGTGAGATGAGAAGTTTGCCCCCGCCATCTTCTGCCAAGTAAACCTCAGATCTCTTCTGGTATATGCCTGAGTGTGCTGATTATCCGATCCACTGTTGGAAGATTGCTGCCCATTTTTCTGTTGCTTATTTTAAGTGCTGCCAGTCTCCTTGCTGCCTCTGTGTGGCTCCTTACTTTCATTTTTATTCACTCTTGTCCTGTTTTTGTCTCATCTCTCTGATTGGCTTTCACCTAAAAATACGAACATTCAGTATTATTAATTAATTGATTGATTGATTGATTGATTGATTATTTCCAGATCTGGGCACTTGAGAATCCAAAGAATATGAGAATGACACAGACTGCCCCTCTCGTGATTGTAAGACAGAAACAGCTCAATGTATGGTTCCAGTATGTTATAATAAGGACTATTAAAGTCTGTGCTGAGCATTTAATTTACATAATTTCATATTCTTTAAAAAAATCCTGTAAGGTTGCTGATACTAGGCTTATTTTACAGAAGAGGAAACTGAGGCTCCAAGAAGTGAAATCATTTGACATGAAATGAGGTGAAGTCACTCAAACAGCCGATCTCATAGTGGGAAATAAAGTGTACGTGTAGATTGCAAAGCTTATGCTCTTAACTACTGTGAATATAGCTTTTCTACTCTCCCACATTGCCTCTTTCAAAGAGCTGACCATAAACAGTAGAATTCAAGATGTAATAATTAACTGTTTATACATTGAATATTAGCTTTATGTTTATAGTAAGGAGTGGGATAAACAAGTAGCTTAAAGTTACTTGTTTTGTGTTTTTATTCCTTCCATTGGTTTCAGTATGATTGCTGGATGGCAGTATCCTTACTCTGTCTGAAAATTGAACTACCTTTAGTTTATAATGCATTTGTTATCACTGTATTCTCATGTGTAGTAGCATATTCTCACTAAAATGTTTTGTTTAGCCCTCTGTTACTTTCTTAAGAGTCAGCTTCAAACTTTGTGCCATAAAATACTTCACCACAGATTTGAAATTTGAAATGCCTTACATCTTATAGAGAAAAAACGATAGGGTTATCTGTCCAGAGAGAGTATATAGGAACCACTTTGTAGATTACTGATGGTAATAGTTTAATTTTAATGTTCTAATATTATGTATTAGTAGTAGCTGGAAACTAACACATCTGCATCCTTCTGAGGAACATGAACTGCTTATATCCTGGGCTGGCCTGGCAGTACTGGTGTGGGCTAGGCTTTAGTTCTTTTTAGAGAGCTTTAATTTCCTATGTTCTTAACATAAACTTCCTACCCTATCTCTCACTTCAAATCCTTGTGTTTTTGTTGTTTTACTCTAGACAACTCATAGATTATACTGACAGACTATGAAAACTTTATTAATTTATTCAGTAAATGTTTATTAAACTTTATCAGCCATGTACTGCTCTCAGTGCTGGGGATATAATATAACACAGCACAAATCAACAACTCTGCCCACTTCTTTTTAACTTTTACATGAGAGTTGTTAAGTAAGTTATATACCACTGTTTCCATATTACAGAATCTAACTGTGACTATATACCATACCAGTGAAATGTATGCTATCTTTCTGTGTTTCTGTGATTTAGTTAATGTTCTTTTACTTCCACTCAAAGAACTTCCTTTAGTATTTCTTGTTAGGCAGGTCTGATGTTATTGAACTCCCTCAGCTTTTGGAAAATTTTGGGAAAGTCATTATTCCCACTTTGTTTCTGAAGGACAGCTTTGCCAGGTATAGAGTTTTTGGTTAACAGTTGCTTTCTTTGAGCGTTTGAATATGATCGCATTCTCCCCTGGCCTGAAAAGTTTCTGTTAAGAAACTCACCAATAGTCTTATTGATGGGGGTGGGGGTGGGGTTTCCCTTGTATGTAACTTCTCTCTTTTCTCTTGATGCTCTTAAAATTCTTTGATTTTTTTTTTAATCAAAGGCAAAAATTATTTCCTTGTATTTGAGTTTTGACAATTTTTTTACTTTAAAAAATTTTTACAGTTTTTATTAAGGTTCCGTTGATATACAATCTTATGCTCA